TGGAGATTCCCCTGTTTGGCTGCCGCGTGCTGCGAAAAATATTACAAAATCATAAAATTACATTTTCTCGATGTACATAGCAAATTAGCCGCTCGCCTGTTTGAACGTTGCTCGCGTTTGTTTGAGTCAACATAGCATCCGCCTTCGAACGGCGCGACGCTCATCGGCTCCGCGGCCATCTTTGCTCTCCGCGCACGCGACCACACCTTTCCCCTAGCTAGCTATCTTCTGGTGCCTTATTTTTAGCACTAGATAGCGTTTCGCCCTACTTAATAAATTTTTCCCAGCTTTCCTTTTGGTGCCCTCCACTCATCGGAGGTTGGCCTTATATTCGTGTATTGGTTCTAAAGCGTACGGATCCTGCTTCTCGCTTTATTGGTGACCCCGACTTTTGGTCATTATCCGGTGAGTTTTCGCTAACCTTTCTTTTCAGATTTGGCCAAATTTTTTCGCTAACCTGTCTGATTTTCACTTTTAATCTTCCGGTTTAATCTCGCTGGCTCGCTATTTTGCTCGCCAAGGAAACTGATCGCGTAGATTCTAACGTTCAGATCAGCGCAGTTACGCTTCCTATCGTACCTTATCGCGAGACTAATCCTAAGTCTTGGTTTGGTCAGCTAGAGTCGCAATTTTCTTTGCGTGGTATTAGGTCCGAAAAGACCAAGTTCCACCTTGTCGTTTCCGCGCTTCCGCTAAATGTCATCGATGACATTGATGACATTCTAGATCTTCCTGACGACCAAAAGACTTACGATGCAGTCAAGACAGCTGTTCTGAGAAGAACAGGCTTATCCGATCGACAACGAGTTACGAAACTCCTCAACGAAACCGATCTTGGCGATCTTAAGCCGTCTCAGCTGCTTCGAAAAATGCAGAGCCTAGCTAAACCCACTTCGATAGATGATTCTTTTCTTCGGGAAATGTGGTTGCAACGACTTCCGCGCGAGATGCAACACATCCTCTGCGCTAGTGAGGATTCACCTTTATCCAAACTGGCCGATACAGCCGACCGAATTTGGGAGTCGTACGGCCAGGTTTCGCAGGTCCAGACGAAACCGGACGACGATATCGCCACGCTTAAATCCCAGATGGCAACATTGACTCGACAATTCGCAGACTTTTCGGCCTCCGGACATAACCGCTGTAAATGCTCTAGGAGCCGTTCGCGTTCACGTTCGAACTCTCCTTCGCGATCACCGAATAGAAACGGTTACTGCTGGTACCACGAACGATTCGGCCAGCAAGCTAAATCATGTCGCCTGCCCTGTTCCTTCAAACGACAGCAGCAGGGAAACGGGCGGACCAGCACGTAGGGGCGACGGACGTAGCTGGTCAACGCAGTCGCCTTTTCTTCGTCACCGATCGTAGAACCGGAGTTCGCTATCTCGTCGATACTGGCGCAGAAGTCAGCGTTCTCCCGCGTGATCCAAACGACCCGACCGAAAAGGTGACTAGCTCATTGCGCGCAGCTAACGGGACCATCATCCGCGTATATGGTCAACGCTCGCGCACGCTAAATCTCAGCCTCCGACGCGCTTTCAAATGGATATTCCTCGTTGCGGATGTTCAAACGCCTATCCTTGGTCTCGACTTCTTACGTCATTACGACCTACTCGTCGACGTTAAGCGACACCGTCTAGTCGACCGCCTTACGAATCTCGCAGTCATTGGGACTTTGACCGACACCGCGTCAATCAGTCCCGTGTACGCGACTCAACTTAGTTCACCCGTCGGGCAAACGCTGCTCGATAGTTTTCCACGGACCTTCCGTCCTGCCGTCCCGTTGCCTTCCGCAACCGACGCCGCGACACATCACATCGTTACGAAAGGTCCGCCTGTGTTCGCAAAAGCCAGGCGCATGACCCCCGACAAGCTCAAAATTGCACGCTCCGAATTCGAGCACATGCTAGACTTAGGCATTATTCGCCCGTCTAAGAGCCCGTGGGCGTCGCCTCTACACATGGTGCCTAAAAAGTCAGGAGACTGGCGTCCATGTGGCGACTATCGCGCTCTCAATAACGCTACCGTCCCCGACCGCTATCCGATTCCGCACATTCAGGACATCACGGCTAGCCTACGTGGCGCCCGTGTGTTCTCGAAGATCGATCTGGTTCGCGCTTACCACCAGATCCCTGTAGCCGAGGATGACATTCCGAAAACCGCAGTCATCACGCCTTTCGGACTTTTCGAATTCTTGCGAATGCCCTTCGGTCTTCGCAACGCAGCTCAGACTTTTCAACGCTTCATAGACTCTGTCACGAGAGGTCTCGACTTTGTTTATCCTTATATAGACGACATCTTAGTAGCTAGTTCTTCCGAAGAACAGCACGCGGAGCACCTCAAGATGCTTTTCGAGAGGTTAGCCTCTAATAGCATTACTGTCAACGCTGACAAATGCATCTTTCAGCAACCATCTATCGAATTTCTTGGTCATCGAATTGACCAGCATGGCATACGGCCGCTCGAAGACCGAGTCAGCGCTATTAAGGACTTTCCCGTTCCGACTACTTTGGCCGCCATCCGCCGTTTTAGTGGGATGATCAACTACTACCGTCGATTTCTGCCACGTTGTGCCGACTTGCTCAGTCCATTGACCGACTTACTTCGTGGACGCAAGAACGGCAACGTCGAGTTGACGCCCGCTGCAACCGAAGCCTTCAAGGCCTGCAAAGAGGCCTTGGCTGAAGCCGTTATGCTTCACCATTTCGACCCCAAAGCTCCACTCAGCGTTGCAGTCGATGCATCGGACACCGCCATTGGCGCCGTCCTGCAGCAATTCACTGAGGGATGCTGGAAACCACTCGCTTTCTACTCCCGACGCTTACAACCGGCAGAAGTCAAGTACAGCACGTTCAGCCGCGAACTGCTGGCAGTTTATTCTACCGTCCGACATTTCAGGCACGTCTTAGAAGGTAATTCGTTCGTTATCTTCACCGATCATAAGCCGCTTATTTACGCCTTTCGAAATCAATCAGCTCGACACTCACCACGTGAGGTTCGTCAGCTGGATTTCGTGGCTCAATTTTCTACTGACCTCCGACACATTTCAGGTCAGAATAACGTCGTTGCTGACGCTCTTTCGCGCGTCTCCGCAATCCACACCGCTGGCCAGGCAATCGACTTATCTGCCATGGCTACCGCGCAACTAACCGACACTGACTGTCAGAACGTCAAACAAGATTCTTCGCTACGAATCACATCGCATCCACTGCCGTCATCTGATGGCACAATCTTGTGCGATACTTCTACTGGACGACCTCGACCCGTCGTTCCAGAAACCTTTCGACGTCTAGTTTTCGACACACTTCATAACATCGCTCATCCAGGCATCCGAGCCACGATCAAGCTCATATCCGAGAGATACGTTTGGCTCGGAATGCAACGCGATCTTAAGCGCTGGGCACGCGGTTGTCTAACGTGTCAGCAGGCCAAGATACAGCGGCACGTGTCCGCTCCGCTTGGTCGTTTTCCGCAAGTCTCAGCTCGCTTCGCCCATGTCCATCTCGACATAGTTGGACCCTTGGCACCATCCAGAGGAATGGTCTACATTCTGACCATGATCGACCGATACACCCGTTGGCCCGAGGCCGTACCTATACCCGACGTATCCGCGGACACCGTAACGCGCGCTTTCGTTGAGCGCTGGGTCGCTTCACATGGCTGTCCAGCCACCGTGACTACCGACCGCGGTCCGCAGTTCGAATCCTCGACCTTCAACGATCTTCTCAAAGTCCTCGGATGTCAACGCATCCGGACTACCGCCTATCACCCGCAATCCAACGGCATGGTGGAACGTTTCCACCGACAGCTGAAGGCCTCACTTAGTGCCGCTAATGCACTAAGCTGGACCGAAGCACTGCCTATGATACTACTTGGTATCCGATCAGCTCTTAAAGCTGATTTGCACACGTCCAGCGCCGAACTGGTATATGGACAACCTCTTCGACTACCTGGGGACTTCTTTTCTGGAAACCCCAGAACACCCCGCTACGACGCGAATTACGCTCGGCAGTTAGCCACGAGCATGCGCCATATCAAAGTAACCGACGTGCGAGAACAACGACGTAAATCGTTCGTTCCACAAGATCTACTGCATTGCGCTTACGTTTTCCTTCGAGTCGATGGTCTACGCAGACCACTCGAACGACCCTACGAAGGTCCATTTAAGGTTCTTAAACGTAAGGACCGCGTATTCGTTATCGACCGCCACGGTAAACGTGAAACTGTCTCTATCGACCGTCTCAAGGTTGCCCATGTGGAACCTGAGATCGACGATGACTCCCGTCCACCTTCGGACGAGTCAACGCAGCCTATGATCGACGACACGCCTACTTCCGATGCTACGAAGCATTCTCCGACTAACCCTTCCGACTCAGTTCCTTCCGATTCTATCGAGCCGAAAGCTTCCTCATCCGACAAACCTGCTGGATCGACAACGCCTCCGACCGAACGTCCGAAATCGACTAGGTCAGGTAGGCGGGTTCATTGGCCAGCGCGATTAAAAGATTAGTCTTCTTTTCATTCTTCCTTTCCCGCTTCCTTTTTGCTTGTGGCCTAACCCGCCCAACAAACGGCAGTTTTGAAAACCCAAAAAATTTGCAAAGCGTTTTGAAAACCCCAAAAACCGCAAAACGTTTTGAAAACCTAAAAAAGGAGAAAATCGTTTTGAAAACACAAAATGGTTCTCGCTTTATTCGCTTATCGCACTCGGTAAGTGCTATCGCCTTTTGTTAGCTCTGTCGCTCGCACCTGTTTGACACTCCGCGTTTCCGCTTCTTTTTCATATCCCCGACACGCGGACGTTCAACGACAATCGAACGTTACGTTTTCGGACACTACGTGCTCAAACATCATGTGCTGTGACACTACGCACTCGAACGCTACGAACATTTCCCCCATTTTGTGTTTTTGGCACCTGTAGGGAGGACACGGGTGGGAGCCCCCTAGCGTCCGATCGCATTGGTTCTCCCCCAGCAGCTGCATCAGGTTTCACCGCCTGGTCTCGCAGAAGGCTGGCCGGCGACGGACAGTCCTCACGTAGATCGAAGGGTCACCTACGGTTCCCTTCTAAGAGGGGGCTGTGTAGTGACCTGGAGATTCCCCTGTTTGGCTGCCGCATGCTGCGTAAAATATTACAAAATCACAAAATTATATTTTCTCGATGTAC